TGGTTATTTTATTTAAATTTCTTTATTAAGATTGCAAAATTAACTAAAAGCTTGCAGCCTCCATCTTATTGTGGCAAACTATATTGTTGCATCTTCGTGTAAGTGCCATTTTCTGATTTCGACGGTGTTTGTCACGAGAGGGCCGAAAGTTTAGCACGGATTCATCGGCTTCGCATGATTGCGAAGCACATTAGTAACATCCTCTTTCAGTTTCAGGTAGCATTTTCTTCTAGGATAAAAGTTGTATAATAATAAATTATCCGAGGGTTCCTCAAAAATCACCTTTTCCAGGCAGAGTCTTCAGCTATCATTTTGTCTACAGCAAAAGAAGACCTGTAATACTAAGGACGATGAAGACAGTTTCTAATCCGAACTGAACATAAATTAAGAATAAAAATTATCCAAAGCCACACGTACATTAGTTTTTCCAGTAGCACACATAATTAGCTTATTTAGGGAATAAGGAGGCCACAGTTGTCCAGGCAACGAAATCAAGCTTTCCCCAGCTAGAAACGAGCTGTCAATCGGCACCATGACTGCAAGGAACTAGGACGTGTTGCCAGATGATTACTGTGTTCGCCTGTGAAGGAACCCAACCTGAATTAGAGCTCAACTTGGCTTTCGGACAAATCAGCGAGCTACCCTATGCGGCATGAAATTCACCGAAAACGGCACGCTAAACTGAGCTATATGCCCTACTACTAATACTAGTTACTACTGCCATAATATGCTAGAGTAATTAGCATTTGCTTCATTTCTAACTTCACATACAAATGTGTCTCACTTGATGCTCAGCAGGGCTTGCTCTAAATTTGCAATTTTGCTCACGAGGCACCTCTTTTTTCAGATGAAACGCACTGTGCCATTATCCTCATTCAAAGAGAAGACAGTGGCAAATATTATATTTATTGCCATATGTACACTAACAATGCAATTTCTCTCCTGTCTAGGTGCTTGGTTGCCATGATGGAGCGCTATTTCCCTCGTAACTATCTTGGCAAGGGACTAATAGGTGCCCAAGTCGACCAACTAGTGCTGAAAGAAATAATTCAGGAAAAGCTTCCCAACCTGGCTGAGCATCTAAACAAGATGAATGTCGACATATCAACGATAACACTCAACTGGTTCATCGCGATCTTTATCGAAGCGCTTACTTTTGATGTGAGTAAAAACTAGGGATTTTGACTGTAGTGACAGCCATAACAAATAAGAGCATCTAGAAACTTGTGTCTTGTTGATGTATAGTCAGATTTATGGATAAAACCAAAAATATTCTTCATTTATCGACGGGTTGATTGCTCAGCAAGTAGGGAAATATGTACAGAATTCCCTTCAGCTGTTTACTTCCTTTGTTGTTCGCCCGGGTCTATTCACTACTTCCTTT